GTACGCTATCACGACCTCTTGGTCACCATTCCGTTGAGACAACACACCGCCAAGTCCTATATCACTTGCGTCTGTGTCAACTATAAATTCTTTGCTTGCATCAGGGTATCCCAAAATAGGTGTTTTGCACAGACGGTCCTTGAGCTCCAGGAATGCGATATTGCAACTTTCATCCCAGCAGAAATCTCGCTTCTCCTCGGTTAGCTTGTGCAGAGGTTTGGCTATATCTGCAAAGTTCTTCACAAATCGCCGGTAATAGGAGCACAAACCCAAAAATGCTCTAACCTGCGTCTTGTCTTTTGGAACTGGCCAATCCTTGACAGCGGCGATTTTCTCTGGATCCGTGCGCATACCTTCTTCCGATACTACATACCCCAAAAAGTTAACTTGCCGTTTGAATAGTGAACATTTCTTCGGACTCAACTTGAGGTTGGCACTCTGAATCTTCATGAGCACGCGTTCCAGGTTTTGAAGGTGTTCCTCAAACGTTCGGCCTACGATGATGATGTCATCCAAGTAGACCAGACAGGCATCGCCAATTAGCCCGGTGAGTACAAGTTCCATCAGCCTTTAAAACGTTGCTGGAGCATTGCGCAACCCAAACGGCATTACTTTAAATTGCCACAGACCCTTTCCCGTCGAGAACGCAGTTTTCTCCTTGTCCTTAGGGTCAATTTCAACTTGCCAGTAGCCACTTTTTAGATCCAGCGTGCTAAACCACTTTACTCCTGTAAGCATGTCCAGCGTGTCATCAATTCTTGGCAAGGGATAGCTGTCCTTCTTTGTAACGTCGTTCAGACGGCGGTAATCAACACAGAACCGCATGCTTCCATCCTTCTTCTTTACCAGCACCACGGGTGAACACCATGGACTAGATGAAGGTTCAATAACACCATCCTTCACCATTCCCTCAATCATGGTTTCCACTTCCTTTTCACGTGCTACCGGCAATCTTCTTGGCCGCTGACGGATAGGCAATTCTTCTCCTGTGTTTATTTTGTGTTGAACTAAGCCAGTCTTTCCTATGTCAGCATCGTTTGATGAGAATACATCGGCGTACTTGAGTAACAACTTCTTCGCCTTGACCAATTCGTCCAGGGAGAGAACACTGCGACAGTCTTCCAAAAGTGTGATCACTCTCGTTTCTGAATCCTTGCTGAGGGTCCCACTCGATATACATTGGCACCGACGTAACCAATACACTTCCTCACAAGTACCAACCAGTGTGCCTTTTTCTATAATCTGTTCCCGGTCGCAAAGGTTCAGCACACGTACTCCTGAGATGTCAGTGGTCCTGATCAAGGTTCGAGCTACTTTCCATGGAAGGTCATTGTTTACCCTTTCCACAAGTACACAACGGTGAGGTTGCCCAGCATTTCGTGGAAGACTAACCGGAACAATCGTTTCCGATCTCGGCGGAAGAACAATCTTATTAATGCTGTACACGTTCCCTGGTAACGCACCTTCCATAAAAAGTTCCTCCTGTCCACATTTCAAAAGACCTTGCTTAACGTCGATCTCACAACAATTATTCCTCATAAAGTCTAGGCCTAGGATGCAGTCGTCCATTATATCAGCCACGATGACATTATGCAGATAGGTCACGTTGCCTAGCTTCAACTCCATCTCCTTCTCTCCACGGACGGGTATACGCTGACCGGTGGCTGTTACCAAATTAATGCGTTCTCGGTTGTATGCGAAGTCCCCAAGGAACTGACTTATAAGTTGGGAACTAACAACCGTACGAGAGGCTCCAGTATCTATGGTCAGTTTACACGGCATTCCGTTGACCTCGCCCTTGATGATTAGACTGTTCCCATCATGGGTTTGTGAGATCGAGATCCTTGGGGCTCTTTTAACATCAGCCAGCACGTTGTCTACCCGATCGTTCACTTGGGCGATTTCAGTTTTAGCTTCCTTGATTTGGGTTTCAGCCTTCGCGATTTGGGTTTCAGCTTCCGACAGGCGGTTGTCATGCTGAGCAACCCTATCCTTAACCTCCTTTATCTCCTTCCCGAAGGTAGCGTGAAGATTCTTCATGAGGAGCATTTGCTCTTCCACCCGACGGGCCTGGTCCTCTTGTCCACCCCGCAGCTGATCTTCCAAACGACGGACCTGTTCTTCTTGTCCGCCCCGCAGCTGCTCTTCCAAACGACGGACCTGTTCCTCTTGTCGGCGGGTCTGTTCATCCTGTCCGCCCCGCAGCTACTCTTCCAACCGACGAACCTGTTCCTCCTGTCGGCGAGCCTGCTCCTGCAGCATCACCATCAGAGTACCTAAGTCAGGTGCTGCAGATGTAGGGGCTACTGACGGGCCTGCAGCCGGCGGCTGGCCCTCCGACGTCTGCGGCGTTGCACCACCAAATCTTCTTTGGTCCGTCTCCTGCTGGCGTTGACTTCGGTTACGGACACCCTCCGTTTCCTCCTTAGGTAAAATCGGCATGATTTTATCCCACTTCTGACACCAATTGTTACGAGCTTGAGGTTTGTGACAAAAAAATTGCCGATAGAATTACCTAAATTAACACTTTAATTCACTTTACACTAATTAAAGTTAAAAACACTAATAATTAATCACACTGATTCACTTTATTCCGCTCCGAAGCTTCGCTTGTCTCGCCAACTTCAATATTTTCCCGATCGCGTATTGCAGCGCCTTTATATAGGGCTCTTCCACGAAAACATCCAGAATATTCCAGAATATTCGAGTAAATACGCGCGCCAACCGACCAAGCGCAGAAAGATCGAGTGTAGATCTTCTAGAAAGTTTAGTTCTTCAATTTGATACTAGATGGCGCTGTCGGTAAAAAATTTGCCATGTCATTTTCTGGAAAGCTCTCTCCTCGCTCTGTTACCCGACACTAGATGGCGCTAGTGCCATGAGATGAGATGTCAACTTAGCCTCGCAACATTAAGTAAGTTAACAGAATATGTGTAAATGTATACGTTCACCTTTTTTATATTTTCTAAATTCCGTGGTAAAAATGCTAGAAGCGATTTTTTTCCAGTTTGTTGAGTAAAAAATGTACAAAAATAAAAAAACAGTTATTTCAATAAATATTTATTTTATTTTGAATACACTTTACAATAATTAATAAAAAATACAACTCTGCGTACATTTTTTTACACCAAAAGATCGACAATAATGTGGGCCACTTAAGATGACCCGAAACAGGCACAAAAAAGGCACATTTTGTACTTCAATAGCGACAATTCCATACCGAGATACGTAGGTTAAATGATATTAAAACAATGTTGTACGAGTTAGAGGGAGATACGTATATATTTACTACAGCTGTTTCGTGTATAAAGTTTATAAGTAAATAGCAACCTTCTGAAGGTTGAGGACAAACGCGTACTTTTTATAGCGACCTTTAGAAGGTTTTGGACAGATGAGAGTTGTATAAAAAGAAACATTTTTCGAATAAACTAACTTCCCCGCTACGAAATCTGTCAAATATTACCTCATTTGTAAGTGGCGCCGCCCTGGTGGCAGAAAACGTCGTGGATGCCCATTTTTTTAAACCTTCTTAGAAATGAGCTAGACTGTATGATTCCTTTTTTGAGCGGTGATAGTCGACTTGAAACTTTTAGGGCAAATGTTTGTTTTTGTAAGGTCTATTTTTTGTATGTATGTTACAATATATCTTTGTCAGTTGTGAATCGAGTTTAATAATACTTATAATAATAATAATGAATATCTTTATTTGTCTCAAAAAATTACAAATTCATCAACATAAACAAATCTTATTATGCTAGTTGGAGGCAAAATGGTCTATGGCTCAGTGAATGTAGGAGACTCACAGACCCTGATTTTCTGCCATACCTTAAACATTCATGTACGGTAGTCTTCATATAGTGTTAGGTAGTATCTTATCTTAAAATTATAATAAAATTTAAGCTTTTGTACAGAAAAAAATCCCTTAACGTAAACAACTATATTACAACACTCCTTTTTTATTTTCAAGTACAACGCACTCATATATATACGTACATGTGCAAGTATACGCCGCCCATGTACCGTATATATGAGTGCGTTGTACTTTTAAAACTCCCTGCTTTAAAATTAATATTTTCGAAAGTAGGAAGTTATAGATTTCGGTCCGATTTTGAGAATGCGAGTTTTTATCAGATCTCTACGCTTTGAGATCCTAGGAAGTCGTTCCAACTATTCCTGGCTAGACGGCGTTCGAAAATGTTCATTGAGACTTCGAGCTGATTAGATTTTTAAGTAAATCGGTCGAACCGTTTCAAAAAATTAAAAGTAAAAAAACAAAAATTAAATAGATTTTCGAACCTTGCGCTAGAACTTGCAGGGGTGCCCTGCGGGGTCAACGGTATTTTTTTAAATAGTTTATATTTTAGTGGTGGTCCCATATAATATGAAAAAATTCTCTGATACTATTTAGATGGCATTCTAGTTGTAATCTTGAGCAAGTGAAATTGCTTAGTCCACTCAAAAAGCATAGAATACTATAATATACAATAGAATGGCTGTCAACCTTACTTTGTTGGGGGATTGACGTCGCCGGGAGCAAACATACAAGCAATTACGTCGTATTATTAGTTATCACCACTACAAACTCATTTTAGAATTTTGATTAATTTTTGACACATAAATGTTTTTTTTTTAATTTTTGTTTCTAATATTCACAATATATAAATAGTTTCGTCTTACTGGTTGTAGAATATGTCTCCTTTATTTAAATTCCATTTTCCGCTGTTCTTTCGACACGTAATGATTGCACAATTTTTTTAAATAATTTGCATGCAGCGACGCTTGACACAAAAATTGGAAACGATTGATTGTGACATTTATATGTGTGAATTGACGTGTTAGTGACATGTAAGTGGCTACACGTACTCCGCCTACGCCCCCGTTCTATTATGTATGTATTAAAGTATTCTATGTCAAAAAGATCTTTCTCTTAAAGCAGAAGAAATGAGGATTTTTTTTAAATTATTTGAAGTTTTTTATTTTATAAAGTTTTTTTTTCACAGGTTCGGAACTAATGGAAAACTATCATACGTTGTCGCGTCGCAACGAACTATTGAAAGAGACGAAACAGTCTTGTGCCGCCATGCGTGAATTGGCAGCGAGGACTCACGCAGCGTTAGCGAGTCAACGATGCGAACTGCTCTCTCAGTTTCATCAAATATTTTATATTGAACAGGTAATGTATGATCACAATCATCGTCATAACAGCCCTTCACAAGTCCACTGCTGAACATAGGTCTCAAAACATGGCCTGCATTCATGGACGTCCAGCATTTCTTACCATGCCTTCACTCTATCTAGTAGCGGAATTACAGGTACAAGACTTCCACTCGAGAACTTCTCCTCCCAATCGTTTGCCGTTTTTAAAACTATATGGCCGGCCCATTGCCACTTTAATTTACTGACCTGTGATGTAAAATAGCTGTATTTTAATTATTTTACAGTTTTACAACTAAGATGGAATGCCTCGTAACCAGTATAAAAGATCTTGTTTCTTTACGCTGATATTTTATGTGAGCATGGTCCTACTTCGTAGTAGCTCAGATGGTTAACGCTCGCTGTAAATATGACACAACGTACGGGCACCAATGAAATTGTTAATTGCAATTTTAAGTGCTGATTTTCCACGTGCTCGGCGGTGAAGGAAAACATCGTGACGAAGCCTGCATGTCTGAGGAATGAGGAAAAAAAGAAAGAAAAAATATTTCGAAGACATGTGAAGTTCGCCAACACGCGCATTGGGGCAGCGCGGCGGACACTTCCTTGCCCTAAAACCCTCTCAGAAATAAAGGGATGCCTGTGCCCAGCATTAGGACATGTATATAGGCTGTAACTTTACTTATTTTTATGGTCCTACTCTAGTCCAGCCGGCCTATTCATACTTCATCGTGGCTCTACCAAGTATTAAGAAAATTAAGAAATAGTTGCCAAGTGCTGTCGACTTTTGAGAATTCTCTGCCCCATATCATCCTATGGTCGTAAGAAGCGGCGGAGGGATATGAAGCAGGAGATGGTCAGCAGAATTTGCCATAACCATGAACCCATAACCCAAAATAATCAAGCTTGCCGCCCGCCGAGCGTAACAACTATGCCAGTTTCTCTTCGTTTCGTTCATTATTTTTCTGCTCCCAAGATACAGGAGAAAATCCTAGTGTGGAGGTAACGTTTTTTAATAATAATAATAATAATAATAAATTAATAGTTATCCCTCCTAGGAGGTAACTATGAATTTTCTTTTTCGCACGACTTCTTTGTGGAATTGTTTACGACGATGTGATACGACCTTTTTTTTATAGGATAGGTTGACAAACGAGCACATAGTACACCTGATGGTAAGTGGTTGCTCCGGCCCATAGACATCTATCCTCGATTACAAAACAAAATGCAGATGCGTTGTCACCCGTGAGGACTAAGATTGAATACCTCGTTTCCAGTAAAAAGGGTCTCCGATTCTCTACACTCACCATACGAAACACAGCAGCATTGAGCTACTATTTTACGCTGGTATTCTGTAAAAGCATGGTCCTTCCCCGGCCGAGCAGACCCATTCGTGCTACAACTATACTACTACTGTAACTGCAGCATGTCTCTACCACATATGAACCTTATACTACGAATATAACCTTCAAGAAACGAGCTTACTCTATTTTAAAAGGCCAGCAGCAACGCACCTACAATTCCTCTGATATTACAGCTCTTCATGGGTGGCCGTCGACACTTACCATCTAGTGAGCCGCATGCTCGTTTGCCCCCTTTTCAATAAAAAGAAAAACCTATGTTCTGCAGTGGACTTATCATGCGCTGTAAATAAAACTACTTACTTTCATTCGTTCTGAATGAATGAAGGAATAGTTTTTATTAAATTTGTAGAAATGTAATTGCTTCAGAGGGACGCGACGACATGGTGTATAATAAATGTCCCGCTGCCGATATGCGACGATGAGAACACGCGAACTTCCAACGCTGTAAGCGACTCGGTTGCGGCCGGCTTCGTAGCGCAAGTGACTACGCTCGCCGCCGCCATTTTGAATCAACCGCTTCGCTACAAGATCACTTTGCTGGGCTCCGCCAGTAAGATTCTAGACATCGTGCCCGACTTGCCTGACCCAAAGTAAGTTAAATTATATAAAAGCAAATAAATTGTTCTCAATGTAGTTATTTTTTACCATCTATACAACAAGTAGATTGTGTGCTCCTTTGTCACATTTATATCTTAAGGTAACAAAGGCCGATAAACCCATTTTTATCTGTGAAAATAAAAAAGAACTATTTTGTAAACAAACTGTCTTAATGAACAAATTATCGATTTTCTTAAAAAAATATTTTAAATTTAATTAATGTGTGTACTTTAAGTATGAAATTGGAGTTCAAAGACATAGGATCTTTCTCTTAAAAATCGATGCCAATTTAAGAAATGTTTAAAGTTGCTCTCTCACTCTCTCTCTCTCTCTCTCTCTCTCTCTCTCTCACTCTCTCTCTCTCTCTCTCTTTACTAAATGACAATAGTAAGAGACAGATATTGAGATAATATAATCAATACTTAAGTAAGCGATAATCGACGAATATAAGATAACACAGATAATGAATTAAAATTTTGGCCTCGGCCTCTGAAGCTATTATGTGAAAATTATTTTTCTTGAAGCTTTTTTCGTCTGCTTTTACTTTTTATTAAAAGCCTAAATTTTGTGACAATTTTGAGTTGTGTAAGGAATATCACAAGTTCGAATGTCATTTAAATAGACTTATACCCTATTTTTCCACATTTAGGGGTGTATTTTCTTCAAACTTATTTAGAATCACTGAAGTATAACCTATTTATTAAAATTAGAAATGATGAATATATCGAGTACCTAAAATACATACAAAAAAGAATATACAGTCAAATTGAGAACCTCCTTTTTGTAAACGTTTAAAATGATTTTGCTCTTTTTTTTGTAGAATAAAAGTGACAAATGAGTACACAGTCCATCTGATGGTAACAGATATTTCATATTCACCACTATTATTTCATTAAATATATCAGCTTTTTTGTAACCAATCGAACGGTCGTTTAATTCTAGCTCGTAACGTAGTTCGATTTTTATTAAATTATTTTTTTTTATAGAATAACGAATAAACGAGCTTGCAGTCCACCTGATGGTAAATAAATACTGTGGCCCATAGACAATCTACTTCAGATAATTGATAGAATCAGGTGTCACTTTGCAGAAATCCATTACAATAACGATATTAATATTTAATTTGCAACCATCCGCTCAATTAAATACAATGATGTGTCTTCCCTAGTTTGAAGAGCACCTCCCGCCACTAATCCCGTCACCACTAGTCCCAACACCACTATTCTAGGAAAGACACACCATCGACGATAATACGATACGTGTTTCGCCTCTACACGAGGCATCTTCAGGTGATGTTGACTCTACGGCGGCTGACCGCTACTACTACTTCAATCTACGATAAGATATAAAAGTGCAGATGTCTAAGACGCAAAACCTCGTTTCCAGTAAAAAGTGTCTCAAGTTCTCTACACTCACTCATCATACGAAACACAAGCTGCTATTTTATGCTGGTGTTCTGTCCGTGGCTTTTATATTTATGCAATTTAATATAAATGTTTTAGATTTATACGAATCCGACACAACTCCTCTACCTGCGGCTAATGTTCATGAGAATTACACCACTTAAAAAATTGGTAAATGCATCACGCGGACGCATCATCACTTTAAATAAACCGTTACTTAATATTTTTTTTTGTTTTGCAGCATACCCTTATTCGCCAGGGGCGGTGATGTAACCCTCTTCCGTTACGCGATGTTTTTGATGAATAAATGTATAGCGCAGTTGCTATGGGGCAGGGGACTTTCCGTTACTGATATGAGGCCAACTTTAAGTAATCTGCAACGATTGTTAACGACTCCAAGTAACTTGTAAGTACTGTTTTTTTTTTTGTCAACGGTACATACATATTGACGGCTTAAAATACCAGGTGTTGGGTGCTTTCCTGTATAAACTTCATTGTTTTTTTAATTCCAGGGGTTAAAGTAACAAATGTCAAACTCGTAATTAATGTTGCTTCATTCATTAGTGTTGTGTTACCTTTGCGATTCCAGTTAATTCCGGTAGTAAAATCATGTTTTTATTCTAGATAACATATTTTGAAATTAGTTAATTTTTTGAATGAAATATATTTTAAGAAAAGTATTATTGTTACCTGGCAGGGAAAACTTATAAGAGGTCATAATTATTCGCCACCATTACACTAAGTTTTGTACATTAGTTGTAAGTGTTAAAAGCAAACAAAAATAAAATAAGTCTATCCATCATCAATTACAGGCTATAAAAGTTCACTGGTGAACATAGACTCCCCCATACATTGCCTCATAGAAGGGATTTCGCCATGGTTACCACGCTTGGCAAGCCTCTGTCGCTTCTTACGACACCCACGGGACGATATGAGATAGTGAATATTCGTACGCCGCCATTACATGGTATTTAAAAATAAAATAAGTACTTATTTTTTATTTTTTCATACTGATAAAATTCACCCGTGTTCACCCATTATTTTTGGTAACGAAAAAGTGAACGATTCACCTGTTCTATTACAATTGCCATTTTATTTACCTCGTGGACGTTATATTTATTTAAACTTTATTGAACCTTACATTAAGTATAGGGTCAAAAGGTGGACTTAATGCTAAAAGCATTCTCTGCCAGTCAACCTTAGGGCAGTGATAGAACTACGACAATAAAATGATATAGCTTTAATTCCGTACCTTTTTGGTTTTTTCACAATATGTAACACGGTTTTACGATAAATTCCGATTACAGGACATAGCTATTTAAAACTCTCCAAAAAGTAGCAATAACCTTGCAATAGCCAAAATTTCATTTTGGTCCCCGGATTGGTTAGTTAACATTCATATCTTAAAAATACGTTTAATGAACTGTTAAACATTTATTGTTTTTGTATAGAAATTGTACGAATGTTTTAGAGAAATTGTATGAGAATCCCCATTAAAGCGTTATAGTTTCTTGCTTAGTCAAATGAAAGTAATTTTTACGGGAAACAATCAAGGTTAGAGGCAATAATAAATAAATAAATATTATTACAGTTAACTGCTCAATTTAAAAAGGGTATAGGATAAACTCTTGCCTAAATCTTATAGCTGTTAGATATTAGGTAACAGTGTTCCCTTTTCACCTCTTAAAAAATATAAGTGTCAAACATACTTACAATCCACTTAATGGCAAGTGACTACTGTAGTTACCTCCATAGACAATATCAAACAAAAAAGCTACACATTTTTTATATCATTGGGTGACATACGAACACACAGTCCACTTGATGGCAAGTGGATGCTGTGTTTCGTAGACATCCACATTTATCCTCAATGAAAAATCTAAATGCAAATACGCTGTCACCCTTAATAGGTAAGCTCTGACAGCGCGCGACATGTTATACTCCCGTTCGCTCGGGACCTTAATGGCGGGAAAATTTGTAAGTTAGAAAATTTTTTGCTATATTGCAAATTTTGCTATATTTTCACTTTGAGACAATATTTATGGATAAAACTTACAGGAATTCTTGTTGAATGTATAAACTATCGAATAAAATTATTTTTGGTTGCTAGAAATTGTAATAAAATACATAAATTACCCTGTATAGCATAGTAGTAGTATATACTTCAATTTTAGTTACAAAATTACTACTAATTTTAATTCTACACTTTTGTTTTTGGAGAAATTTATATGAAAATGTTTGGAAATATGTATATTTTTATGTTTTATGTGTTTCTATTCGTTACTCATACCAAAATATTAAAAAATTAAAAAAAAAATAATAATATTTTATCTGTATGGCATTTCGAACAATATTTCAAAAATAGTTTTGTGTGAATTTGAAATAAATACAACGTCAAGTTATTTGAAATATGTAAGAAAACTATTTTTACTTACATTTTACACTAAAAATAAATGAGAATTTGAAAAATAACACATTTATGACCCAACCGCCAAAATGGGCCTTCCGGATTTTGAAGTACTTTTGGCAATTTACTTTACAAGGAATATAAAAAAGTATAATACTTTCGTTTTTAGTCCAGACACAAATACAAAATTCTATAAAAAAAGACGAAGCACCTTCATCAAAGCGACACGTGGAACGCCGAAAGTTCAGTGATTTTTTTTTTCCTAAGAAACATTGCCAGGTTATGGTTTAAAATAAAAGAGCATATCTTTGTCTTTGATACTATTTTCTATTGCATATTGTCTTTGGTTTTGTTTAAAACGAAAAAATAGTTTAAAAAAAATAGTTCATAGGGCAGTACTTCTGATAATCCGACCCGTACTAGAGCCGACGTAAGGTAAGGTATTGTATGATCTGATCAGACCCGTAGCCGAGTGAACGGCTACGACTAAGCCTTCCTAATAATTCCAGTAAAAAGGGTCTGCGGTTCTCACACTCACCATACGAAACACACCAGCATTACGCTGGTATTTTGTGAGAACGTGGTGCTACCCCGGTCGTGCCGACCTAATTCGTGTTAACTATAATATAGCTGCAGTGTGGCACTACCACGTAAAATATGCATTGTCAGTGAGGACTGAGATGGAATGTCTCTCAGCCCTTAATTAAGCTGGCTCGTTTTACTCTCCGGACCAGACAGCAGTACACGTAATGTTATTGGACTTGTGGTACCTACCCAGATAGACTCCTAGAAAGACCAACTTTTGTGAGTTGGTCTATACCTATCCAGGAGATTTCATGTGGCTCTAGCTGGTCCCACTTTCAAAATACATACATGGTAGATACACACTGTAGCTATTATGATTGTAGCACGAATGGGTCGGCTCGACCGGGGAAGGACCTCGCTCTCACAATACCAGCGTAAAATAGTAGCTCAATGCTGCTGTGTTTCGTATAGTGACTAGAGAACCGGAGACCCGTTTTACTGGATTCGAGGCATTCCATCGTAGTCCTCAAGGAGACAACGCATCTGCATTTTGATTCTTAAACGAGGTTAAATGTAGATTTCTATGGGCCACAGCATACGCTTACCATCAGGTGGGCTGTGGGCGTTTGTCACCCTTATCATATACAAAAAAAAATTAATAAATATTTTTTTTATTTTATTAAATTTTCGTTTTTATATTTTCAGATCGGACACGTCGAAACTGTTCGGCACATATCGATGGTTGGCCGACAATCAGTGTCCGCGAACACAGTCGCTACGCAGCCTAGTTGCGTCGGAGAGGGGGAAATACAGACAGTTCAATCGATTTAAGGTATTGTTATTTCTTAAATTCTACTAGCATCTGATTGGCTTTGAAGATGACACTGCTGGCACATCTTCTGCTTTGTGTCGCCTCCTCTTGCGACACACAAGGAAAATATAGATTTAAGATACAATTTATGACTTGACTACAGCGCCATCTATCGGATCCTAACAGTGCTATGAACGTTGCCGCACCACGATTGCCTCGTTGGTCTAGTAGTTGTAGTAGTGCGACTGCTGATCATGAAGTCCCGGGTTCGAATCCCGGGCCGGGTTAAAGAATATCAGTTATTGAGTTTTTCCATTAAGAAATTCTCAGTAGCTGCCTGGAGTCAGGAAGTTGGTGGTGTCTCACCCCCGTGCCTCGGAAAGCACGTAAAGCCGTTGGTCCTGCGCCTGATCTCTCTCCGGTCGTGTCGGTTTACCGTCCCATAGGATTATGAGAGTGAGGGACTATTCCCTTGCGCAAGCACAGGTGCACTCTCTATAGAGTGCACCTGTGCTTGTGCATACACTTACGCCCTATAATCTTGTCCTGCGCCGATGGCTAGTCTCCGTTGAGGCAGGCCGCCGTGACCGAAATTCGAACTAGAGGATATTATTATTATGTTAATATGACCTCAATCAGTAAAGTCGTTCAAAACTTCAAACGATCACTAGCAGTGCAGTTATGAAACGATTATATAAATATAATGCAATATAAGTATGGATGTCTCAGGTGCGATTTTCTTATTTAAATCGAAGGTTACATTTATTATACATTCTAAATCCTATGTAAGAAATATATGGAAATTTGTCTTTAAATTCATCTCATCATCGCCCTTATCTCTAGAATGGTGGCAAATTTAACAAATAGTAGTGACATATTACAGCTTGTGGTTTATCACATTTTTAAGAAAAATGACTTTATATATGCAAAATTTTTAATTAAAATAAACTTTATATTAAATTTAAAAATAACTTTATATTAAAATTATTTTCTAAGGACGCAGTGGACGGTCAGTCGCCTCATTCTATGTTGAACCATCGAAGGCACAAGCATTCGCGAAGCGTTGGAAGCTATCATGATCAGGTAAATTTTCAATCAAAAATACCCAAAAAACGTCTATGTTCTATTATGGTAGTCGATTATGAATAAACGATCTTAAGAATTATTTATAATGTGTTTAAATTAAATAAAATAAATAATTAAATAAAAAATATTTTAAACCGTTAGACCGATTTAGTAAAGGATTTAATTACAAGCTTTTTACTAAAATTAATTCGTATGCTTCGTAAGTCTTTTCGAAGCACTTCCAAACACTCGATTGTACTGAAATTTAGCATATTATGTTACTTCAATGACGATGCAATTATATGGTACCAATAACACGGAGCTGATCTGATGATGGACTATCTGGGTCCATCCAACGCCGATAAAAGCTTGTTTTTAAAATAGGTTTTATTTTTGAAATGTGTTTGCTTTGACGTGTCAATTTTGAATATAATTTTATTGAATTTTTTCTTTGATATAAAGTTTATTTAATATTGTTTTGCTATTTAAATGGATATTTTTTTATGTGCGCGTGTGTTAAAAAGGTTGGTTTTGGAAAATGCCTGTCAAAGTCTATGACGGAACAACCTTCCTAATCACAATTATTAAAAACCCCTTTTTTAATTTTTAGTTTTTGATGGTGTCAAGTACAAATAATCACCTACAAAGGAAACGTTCTGTTTCATATTGAAACTATTTATGTATGTATGTATTTTGATATTATTCTGTTTTGTAGGTTTGTCTTACTTGTTACAATTTTCGTAGTATCTTTTGCTTAATAATGTGATGTTAATTCTTTGTTGAATGTTTTTGGTAATGGTATGGCTAAATAAATGGTATGGTTTGTACAGTTTATGTCTACTAATGTATAGAAGTTGATATTCACTATATTTCTTTAATCAGTAGAAAATGGGCCGTGGGTAGGGTTACCATATGGAAAATTAAAAAATCCACAAAAAACCTGTTTTTCATGGAAAAGTCCTGATATTTTGTTACAAACGTAATTAACAAACGTGAAAAATATATTATTTGTTTTTTATACTCTGTTGATCAATCCATATGTAGCAGATACCCACCACCTACCTCCCACATAAAAATTTCGTATTTTTTTTGAAAAAAAAATGAAAAAAGCCTGCTATTTCACCCAAAATCCGATCGCAATCCTAGCAAAAACCCAACAATTCTGACATGTTTGGACAAATCCGGTATCTATAGCCGTGTCTAGTTTCTTATCCATTCTTACCGTACACTATTCATGGAAATAATAACACGACTTTTGCCCGGGATCAGAACCGTGGCCTGTGCTAGTTTTTATGTCGTTAGAGAACTTGTGGTTGACTGTAATGACGACGAGGAGCATACATAGTTCTTACAGACAGTTGGTCCACCAACTTGGTCTTCCTTCAACTCGTAACATTCTAGGTTTATACGTTATATGGTATTAGCGAAGCCGTCCTATCATATTATTATTTTATATATTATTTGTATAGCGTGCTGTTTAATCCTTCCACTCCTCCTTATTTAAAAAATCGTTTCCAGTATCTTTCCCTTACCCGTAATCGGTTCCTTCGATCCTCTGTCAATTTCTCTCTCTACTCCTTTGCACTCTGCCTCCTTTTAAAAAAATCCTTTACTTTAACTGCTGTGCGTTTATGGAACTCTTTTCCTCTCCACATTCGTCGTGCTAAATCTCTTACAGACTCTTTCAAAAGTCTTGTTAAATCGTATTACTTAGAACGCTATTAGATAAATTACTTTTCCTTTCTCGTACTCTTTTCATTTAATCTATTGTAGATTATATTAGATATTATATATAATTTTCACTTATCTTTATTTGTTTGTATTTTCATATTTTTATTTTATTGTACGCCCCCCCCCCCTCTATTTTAAGTATTGTTTGCATCAGTTCTCTACGCAAAGCTGGTCTGGAAGAAACAAATAGAAAAAGGTCACTTTTAGAGTGTTAAGACCGCCTGTTGTACATTTTCTACTTTAGATTTAACTGTACTCGATATTTTGTATTTTGGTGTACAATAAAGAGTAAATTAATAAATATCTTGAGTATATTGTTATGATCAATGATTTTCACTCGTAAGTTAGTAAAAAAAAATTGCTTTGCTAATTTAAACTGTAGTGGAAAATAATGATTTCTTAAATCAATATTCAATATGTAGTGGAGCATCCGTGGCACTTCAATTTTTAAGTGTATGTTTCTTTTACAATATTTTTTTAATAGTATTGTTCTAATTCAGATTTTTGAAAAATATAAACAAATGCACTTCACCTATATACGTAGCACATACATAGGGTTATTTTGCAATAATCGACCAAATTTGTAGAGATGAACGTACTATAGGTAAATGGATAAGGCGACACCGCGAAAAAATGCACCTCCTTTCATCGAATAGTATAGGACTATGACACCACTAATGAAGGTGGAATTTTGATATAGGTAAATTCATGTCTTTATCTTGAATTTAATTGTTCAAAAACATGATTGTATAATTTTGACTCCATCATAATTGTTTGCGAAAACACCTCCAAAAAATCACTATAGTTGAAAATTAGAACGAAATTACTTAATCCATATGCTTGGGAATCACTCGAATATATTCATAACATCAATTTCATAATTTGCTTGCTAATTATTTTGATTACTTAAATCAATAATTTTATAAAAAAATATTTTAAGATTCTGACAATTTCTAAGCGGATCTCGCGGGCGCTAGTATTTTAGACCTTATGACGGCGTTTTTTCAATTTTTTATAGAAATTATGTATTCACTCGAATCAGTACGGCGATAGCCTGGAGTCATTTTTTCGAGGTGTCGTCTTAAGAAAAATTATTTAAAAAAGTCATTCTGTCCTTTTTATCTTTTCAATTCAAAATGCGTGGTAATGCATTATTTTAAATGATTTTACTGCGCATTGGTAAGGGTCGATCGTTAGGTAAAAACGTTGTTGCCCATAAATCACATTCAATTTGGGATATTACCACTTAAAAGAAGAAGCCTTATTTACTTGTATTTTCATAAATTGCAATAACCGTATATCATTATTTATATATTATTTAAACTTAAGTTTAAAATATTGTTTACTCTTTGAATAATAACCCTGTATAATTTATCTAACGCAATGTTCTTTTCCAGGAGTTATCTATTTTAAACGCTTCAACGACTTCGATAATGGGAAGTGATTCAAACATATACAACATGAAACTGACTCAAGAAATTGCAACTGAATCAAACCAAAATTGTCACAAAACTCACTCAGATTCGGAAATATCTAAAATTTCAACAGAAGAATGTATAGTTCAAAGCAGTTCCGACAGCAAAGTACTGTTCACTTTGGGAGATGATACAGCGTTGGTAGATCTAGAGACAGAGAAGCTGGTGAAAATTTCAATCAATAACGACGACGAATGGGTGAAATGTGTTGATGAGAACGTCAAAAGAATTTGTTCGGAAATTGAGAATTTCTGCTCAAATAACGTGAATTCGGTGACGGGAAAGTTTGAAAAGGCAGATATAGAGATAGCGAAATTTATCGATGAACGTAAAACTAGTGTCGAAATAGAAGATGCTGTTGACATATCTTGCGATACGTGTGAAAATAACAGGGACGGTGTTTGTGATATAGCGTGTGCCAACAACGTTAGAGACGTGATCGTGATACCAAGTGCCGAGGCCATATTGGATACAGGTCAGATGCAATCGGATAAAGCGATTGATAGCATTAGTGAATTACAATAATTGTATTTGTCATTTGACAATATTGAGATTGTTCTCTTTGTTTGAGATTTGTTCTGTTATTGTTTGAAGCTAAAAATTACCTAAAAGAATGTGAATTAGAAATTTAGTACCAAAAGTCTTAGTAGCATAAGGGTCGATCCTCATTTGACGTTCAAAGTTCGTTCACGGTCCGATCTCGGTCTGATTTATTATATTATTGGAATGAGATTCGAGCGAATCTTGACTGTTACGGATAGTATTAATGCACGCATATATAAATATTGTCAAGTAAAAATATGTGTGTGCATTCATACTATTCGTAACAGCCAAATTTCGCTCGAATCCCATTCTAATTATATATCAGTCCAAGATCGGACCGAGACCGAACTGTGAACGGCAAATAAGGATCGGGCCTAAGTCTTGCCGTCAACCATTGTTTATTTTTGCATAATTTAATTTTCACTGTATGGGTGCTACATTTTAAAAGAGTATTTTTATTTATAATGCCTTAATTTAAGAAGAATACAAAGTTAGGTTATATGGTTGGTAAAAAACGAGAATCCCTTCTTATGAGATGACCCCTGGGGTATGCCGATGTTCAGCGGCGCCGCTTTGATAAACTGTAACGGTAACCTTAAAAAACGAAAAACCCACGAACTCTTCCTTTTTGTCTGTTTATGTTTTATTTTATAGTAAATGGAGAGTCGTGGTAAATCAGGGGCTAAGCGGTCGCTGTTAACTTCACAGTACTCGAGCCCAGCAGTGTGGCGTAAATATGCTCTAACTTTAACTTTAAAGTAAATAAGGCATATAATAATTTTACTATAGTAATAGTATAAGTAGCTACTTGCACCTGGTTTTAAAACAGTATAGTTTTCGTACTGTAATAGGTGAATGGAGTATAAGCTTATGGCACTGATATTTTACAAAAAATAGAAACTTTCGAAGAATTTTGAGTGCGCGGGAAGCTTTGCCCTTGAGCCTGTGACCCTGCGAAAGGACATATACAAAGAATTTATTATTTTATTGCCGCTCGTAAAACTAAGGAGGGTATGACTTGAGTTTCGATAGATTTTATTTGATTGAATTCAATATTTTTGTTTTTATTTTTTGTAAAATATCAGTGCCATAGACTTCTATTCCATTCACCTGTTACACCCTTTTTTTCAGACGGTAAAAATAGTCATCCAGTATATGCAACAAGGAAATGATACGAAAAATAATTAAACTTTATGCGAAACAAAATCATTAACAAAAAAATTCCAGTTGTATTGACGATACGAACAAAGACATGAAGTGTCTTTGTTGAAGTTAAAAAAAGACTAAAATCATTATATGAAAAAATACTAGGATAGTGTACGATATGTTTTTACAGCCTGTCAAAAGCGCCCCGCCGCACATATGCCTCCCTCATGGATCGTATCTCGGTATATTTGCTACAGCAGCAGCTTTGGCAGACGAGTTGGCAACCATAATTTTTTTGTGTCGTTATCGAGAATATGCTGCTGTTCATCTCTTGACTCATTTAACACTGGATCTTACGTCATCCACGGGATTATAGGATAACTTTAGTGGATGGTTTTAACCATAGAATACTATAATACACAATTGAATGACTGTCAACCTTATTTTGTACGAGGATCTGCGTCGCCGGGAGCACACATACAAGCAATTACGTCGTATTATCACTACTACAAACCCGATTCGCTGTGTTGACAGACTGAGCGAATTTACACATTTTAGACTTTTGATTAATGTTCAAGATCATCATTAAACAAATCGTTTAAATTTTAATACATATTTATTTGTAAATAGCAATTGCAAAATGGCATTTTCTAAATAATTTGCATGTGAAATTTGGAAGCGATTGTAACGTCAAAACACATCTCGTGTTGACATTTATACGTGTGAATGGACGTGTTAGTGACATTTTAGTGGCTACACTGGCTTCGCCCACTCCCTCGTTCTATTATGTATGTATTGTAGTATTCTATGGTTTTAACTTTTAGCTTTTCTTATCTCTTAGCTTTTTGCTTGCTGAGGAATTAGTTATTCAGTACCAGCCGCTATTTATATATTGGGCTCGAATTAGGGTTTGGCTTTGTGATGCCCTTATCTTTCCATTCGTTGTGAGGAACGAAAATTGGTAAAATAAAATTAAAATGTTATCATGCGTGATAACTATGTAATAGCAACTTATGAACAATCTCATTGTTGACAAAATGATGACATATTGAACTGTTGTTTCTATATCATATACAATAATTTATTTTAATAAGTGTGCAATTGCGTTGAAAGTAGAAACATTGATGAAAATAATTTTCTTCATACAGTTAAATATAATCATTAGGTCATGCGAGTCTTCGTCGAATCATTTTGCAAATGTGCATGGTAATATGTCGAATAACTATCTCAATTTCTCAACATGCTATTTATGCGTAATAGATCCATGCTGCAGTTATATTAGTAGTATAGTTGTAGCACGAATGGGTCGGCTCGACCGGGGAAGGACCACGCTCTCAGTATACCAGCGTGCAATAGTCAAATAGTAGCTTAATGCTGCTGTGTTCTGTATGGTGAGTGTAGAGAACCGGAGACCTTTTTTACTGGAAACGAGGCATTCCATCTCAGTCCTCACGGGTGACAACGCATCTGCATTTCGATTCGTGATGGAGGATAGATGTAGATGTCTATGGGCCGCAGCAACCACTTACCATCAAGTGGACTGTGTGCTCGTATGTCACCTTATCCTATAAAAAAATGCTAGGCCTAAAAGAGAGGAATAGGCGTTGCAGATGATAACCTCCGTTCACTGCAGCCTGTAAAGGTCCACTGCTGAACATTGCCCCCACCCCCCTTAGATCGCCTCATAGAGGGGATTTTGTCATAGTTTGCACGCTTAGTGAGCGGGTTGTCAATCGCAGTTTTTTTATATAATAAGGGTGACAAACGAGCACAGAGTCCACCTGATGGTAAGTGAATACTGTGGCCCATAGACATCTACATTTATCCTCGACTAAGAATTAAAAGGCAGATGCGTTGTCACCTCTGAGGACTAAGACGGAATGCCTCATTTCCAGTAAAAAAGGGTCTCCGTATCTTCACACTCATTATACGAAACACAGCGGTATTAAGCCGCTATTTTACGCTGGTATTCTGTGAGAGCGTTGTCGATCCGACACATTCGTGCTACAACCATAATAAAGCTGCAGTGTCGCTCTACCATGTATAAAAGTATTATTTTGAGTCGTTATCAGAATAATAATTTTATACCTCTGTCGCCTCCTACGACACCCACGGGAAGATATGGGGTAGTGGATATTCATACACTGCCACTACACGGTACTGCAGTCCTGATTCGAACGCGAGTCTAATGAAGCTAAAAATTCCTAGCTTACAGCGCTAACATCTACGCAAGGCGTCGGATTCGGATGATAAAAGTTTGATATTGTGATTGCTAATCGATGAATTGTGAATTCGATTGTAGCAAAAGATCTTTTCACTTTGAAGATATTGAATAAGAGTAATTTTACATATTTTATCTCGTTAAATTTTAACTTATTTTCAACTATTTCAAATGTGTTTACTGTGGTTTTCAAAGCAAATAAATCTTCATTTCATTTCATTTTGTATTTACACCCTATTTTTTCCAGACTGTAAGAAAGGTTATCCAGTAAAATGACTTGTATGTGGTGGTGTACAACATTGACTTGTTATTTCAAGAATTCATTATTTTCTTATCCTAAATTAAAGGTTTCTACTCTCAATGCAATTATGATTACAGATAATTTAGTAATTTAGAGATGTAATAATGCATAAAGTAGTAGGTTTCAATTTTGTAAATAAACATTAAATAAGACGAAATACGATAAAGAACTGTTATATTGAATTGTCGAATTTAATGTACACCCCCAAGTATTGTTCAATTCAGGGGTATTTTATTAATAATGAGTTTGTTACCTAAAACTATCACATTGCTCCCCATTGCTCGACGTTATCCTTAACTATTTGGAATTTATATTGTTTTGTTGGTACCGAGTAAAATTTTATTACTAACCATGCTTAAAAATTGGCTTGACAGCGAAAAACTGACAATTAAATTAGACTGCAAACTAAATTCATGAGTTCATGACCGTACATATTTTTTTATTTAATAATTATTACAAATTTATAGTAACAATATACAACAATCTTAAATATTATATCATCCGAGATTTTAACTTTTTAGCGCTCGACGCCGCACAGATTGATAGCTTTTTTTTTCGAACATGCAGAGGTATGCATCAACGAATGTTTATGAAATGAACATTTTTATCATTTTCCTTCTAATTTTTAATATTATTTCTTCTGGAATCTAAAGTTAAAATTTACAAATCGGTAAAATTTTTCATTTCTTTTTTATTTCAAAACTGTCAAGACGCACATTGATTTAAATAAAGATCCTGCTCAAGATTAAAAACATATTCTAGATATTCATGAATATAAATTTGGGCAAAAGGACCATATTATATCATATAAAAGTACTCAAATATTGTGATGTAGATATCCGATAGTGCATTTTAGTATATGTATAGTCCAAAATTAACCTTAAACAACTACTTAATAAGGTTTATATTACAACTAGTTGTTTTATAAAACTAAATTTACGGATTCTATCGCGTTTATTTAACTGATTTTACTTATTTTTAATTCCCGAAGTTTCAGGTGCTTTACAGCACCCATGGTCAGGGGGGGGAGACAATGCGTAAATCGGACCAAAATTAATATTCAAAAACTGAAGGTAACCGGGTTAACAATGACATTAGGACGTCAAACATCTCAGCCCCCCCCCCCCGTGACCACGGTCGCTGTAAAGCACCCGAAACTTCGGGAATTAAAAATAAGTAAAATCTGTTACATAAACGCGATAGAATCCGTAAATCCGTTTATTCAATGTGTAGTGTTCGCGTAAATTTACGAAATCATTATGTTAACTAGTTGTTGTTTGAACAATTGTTAGAGAATTTCTTAACCCTAATGGC